AAACCCTAGTTTCACAACAAAAGAAATTGCGTGTTATGCATCCTATCAGCCTTCGCGTTTTACGTCTGGCATAATCAGTCTGTTCAGCGAACGTTAGGTTACTAGAGTATCTAATACCGAGATCTACGACTGAATTGAGCTTAGCTAGTTTTCGCCCATTTATTTCAAGGTTTAGATCAAGCTTACTGTTGCCGATACAAATCCAGCCGCATTTGTCAATGTTAAAATTTAGACAGGATTCAGCACACCACGTTGCAAGGCTACTTAGTTCAAGATGTATTTTAGTAACCATATCGCTTAATTCATGAGTGTAGCAGGAGTAGACGACTTTGAGGTCGTCAGCATATAGGAATGGTTTACCTGAGGTGAAGCACTTGCAAATGCTGTTAATGTAAACTGTGAATAAAAGTGGACCTAGGACACTACCTTGCACGACCCCACTTGAGATCTGCCTAGGATGAGACAATACAGATCCAACTTTGGTTATTTGTACCCTGTTGCTTAGAAATGATTTTAACCAGTTCAGTAATGGGTTGCGAATTCCACAAGAGTACAGCTTCTCAAAGAGAATACTGTGAGATACCATGTCAAATGCCCTAGATATATCGAAGTATAGAACAACGACTAGCTTACGTGCTTCGCGACTACTAGTGATGCAGTTGAAAAAGTCGAAGTGGCAAGTAACGCAGGATCTATTTTTGAGAAATCCGTGTTGAGACCTTGTAACAAGATCTTCCCTAATTAGGTAGTCTGACAATTGATCTTTACAACTTTCTCCATGATTCGTGAGATAACTGGGGTTATATTTATGGGTCTGTAATTGCGGACGTTTGCCCTATCACCAGATTTGTAATGTGGAATTATGAAGCTAGTTTTCCACTCACTAGGGTAAGTGCCAGTGTCCATAGATATTGAGAAGAATTTAAGAAGTAACAGGGTATATCACACCCACTGTTTTTGAAAATTATCGAAGCGAGGCCATCCGGTCCCGTACTAGTGGAAGGTTTAAGGCTTTTAATTGCTTGTACTATTAACTGATTAGTGAACACAATGCTTTCAAGGGAAGAGATAGTAAGGGGAGCGGTTTCACCAGGCATATGTGTTTCTAAACTAAAGTTTGCAAACCAATCACTGAAAGTTCACAGATAGTGGCAGGTTCATTGTAGATTACTTTGTCGTGAAGTAAGTATGGGATTTCCCTCGCCGACTGCATTCGTTTTTTAAGAAGTGCCGTTAAGTTATAAACTTTGGAGGTACTTTCAAGTGCCGTTAACTCTTCGTCGAGGTCCTTTTGAGAGCGTAGGCGCTTGATAGATTCAAGAGACTCGTGGATTGAGAGCAATAGTGATATGTCCTTAGTGGAATAGTACTGTTTCTTCAGTTTCCTTAACTTATTACGGTGTGCCCTTGGAATATATTCAGTTCGGTGTCTACTTAATTTCACTATTTTCTTTGGGGCAACTGTATCTAGACAAAGGGTAACATTCCTGTAAAACAGGGTTACTAAGGCCTCCAGGGAGTCAGTGGTAAAATAGTCATCCCATTGACAGAGTCGAATAAGTTCTTGGACTAATCCCCAGTCTGTATATTTGTAACTACGACATATTGTGCTTCCTGAGTCTTGTTTGTTTCCTGTATTTAGTGGTGAGAAAGGCAGAGAGCAGAGTACCATTCTATGGTCACTACTGGAAAATCTATTACCAACATAGTGGATACTGGGATTGTGTCATGACAAAAAACAAGGTCCAAATGTTGTCCCCACGAGTAGGTGTCTGGACGTGTTGTTGCCATCCATAACAGTCTATAGTGGCAAGTAATTCGTCGAAGCGTTGGGGGCCGGAACTAGTTAGCCAATTGACTTCTGGAAGATTGAAGTCCCCTGCAATTATTTTGTAATTAGCACTAAACGAGGATGCGTGTGCAAACGATTTAGCTAATAACGCATCAGTTTCTTTTGTTGCGCTTGGTGCTCGATAAACACAGCCTATGAGAAGTTTGTACTTATCTCCATGTAAGACAACCCAGAGTGAGTCAGGTACATTATTCATTGTTTCATCTTCCACCTTACTGACTACAAATGAGTTATGTATATATATGAGACATCCTCCACCACGCTTGCAATCTCTGTTTGCACGGTGTACAGTGTAATCATCGATACCTATATGCACATCAAGTACAGAGGATGAGCACCATGACTCAGTAATCAGAGCTACAGTAGGCTTGGCGACTAATAATAATGTCCTTAGTTCAGATATCTTATTGATTAAGGAACGTGCATTAATTAGCAATATCGTGAATAAGTCACGGGATACTACAAACTGGCTTAAAATGTCACCATAACCTAAATCTATTTGTGCGTCAGCACCGCAAGAATTTATGAATGAAAAGGAGGTCGGACTGGGTGTCTGCACATCGGAGTTGGTGTGCAATGAGGTGGTCCTAGGTGCCATGGGTCGTACCAGTGATTCAGGACACCTGGAAAATTTACCATGTGTTCCTGGATATAAGGGTAGTACAGGTTGGGCCTAGGTTGACGGTTAAAAGGCATAGCATCAGAAGGTCTACCCATCCAACTGCTATTCGTCATACCGGTATACACCTTCGGGTTGTTTTTATAACTTAAAGGGAATTGTGAAGGAAGGTGCTTTGGCTGCAAGACTTTAGGAGTCTTGGAGCCTGACTTTCTATAAGGTGGAGCATGCGGAACACCTCCAGATGTACTTATGTTTCGAGAGGAGTTTTTCGTAACAAGTGATGGTTTGTTGGCATTCTTACTCTCAGCAGGCTTATTGAATACAAAGTATTCTTCCCCATCATTAGTCTCAACCCTGCGAAATTTGTTCATCGTGGTGAGGTTACTACGTTTGGGGGGAAATTTCTTAGAACAACTTGCAGAAGTTCTAGTCATTTTAACATCTTTCGATGAGGCTTTGTTTACAGGGGTACTGGTATCTAAATCAGTTCCTAGTTCCATTGGCAGGTGTGGTTGTTGTGTAGTTTGCTGAATGCTAGTTTCAGCACTAGGTGTCTGTTGCTGTGCACGATCCTTATTTGGTAAATCTAAGCTAGAGGAGGTGACCAGGTTATTACTACGCATTATTCTGCGCTGACACGGTGTTTTATCCTGAGCTACGGTTATAGACTTATAACTGCTATTCAGTCTTAAGTGATCCTGACATTTAGTAAACTTACTAGCATCAAGGGAATTACTGAATTTAAAAATGATTGGGCAATTAGCCTGGTTAGACTTTTTACGAAGTCGTTTGCATTCACATGGAACACTAGCCATGCCGCAACAAATCAGGATTTTGTGTCTTACAGTTTTCAGGGGCAGAGAATCTGGGACGTTGTAAACTATAGCTTGGTGAGAAGAGGTTATACGCTTCATCACCTCCGTAGCCAAGCAGTCAATCAGATTTTCAGCTTTATTTAGGTTGTCTGGAGATATTTTAGGATGCCTTTCTAAAAGACAGGCTATTGGGTCTAAATTCAAAAGCTTATTTTGAGTTACATCCAGTAAACACTTAACCTGGCCAATATCAGAACGGCTCTCCGTGGTATTTGAGATTGGCAGTGACATACTATCAAACTGATCTAATTTTTTCTGAATTTCACTTACTTGCCTCTGCATATCTTTCAAAAGGAGGTTTAGTTTACAGAACTCAGAGTTCTCTAACAGAACATCTTTCACCTGTATCACAGGAGTGAGATCTGCACTCAAACCATTTTGAGAGCTAGTAGTTGATACTGTATTACGAGGCGGTAATGCAGTTATAACCGAATTTAAGCCACTATCTAAAACAATTGTGTTTCTACGAACACGTTTTTTAGAGATTTGGACCATAATTTCAAGAATTATATGACAATAAGCAGTAAATAAATTTCAGAGCAAACACGTGCAAAAATGTCACCAATTTCGAACGTACCGCCAGCCCAGCTGACAATGTCTCATATGAGGATTCCTCCGAACATAACATAGGCAACCAGGAGTTAGGGATAGTAACAAGAAAACCTACTAACTATCCCAACAACCCTGGTTTTCTGAAAATTATGCTTTTAAATGCTCGATCTCTCCTTAACAAAATAACTTCCCTTCGCAGCTTGGTATACATGGAGCGGCCAACACTGATTCTGGTAACTGAAACTTGGCTTACTATTGATATACCTGACACAAAGCTGATAATCGATAACTATAACATCCACAGGAATGACAGAGCAGACAAGAGAGGAGGAGGCTGTCTAATATATGCCTCTAAATCCACTAACTCCAATACCTTTACAAACCTAACTATCGACAAACTCCCAGAATCCAAGAAAAATGGCATCCACACGAATGAAAATAACATTCTTGTGGGATGTATATACAGAGCCCCTAACAGCCCTATAACGACTGATACGGTTATCGGAGAAATACTAGAGGTTGTACCTAAGCTGGAATTCGACTACAAACTAGTTTGTGGCGATTTCAACCTCCCTGGAGTGAACTGGGATACCTGCACTGGACCGAGAACCTACGAGGTGATCCTAGAAGCCATAGATGTGGGAGGATGGAAGCAGTGCGTACGCCTCCCAACACGACACAACAATATACTCGACTTAATCCTCTGTCACAAAATAGAGCCGATCTCGATAGAGGTGAGGGATAAACTCGACAACAGTGACCACAACATACTGTACTGCACCCTACCCTTACAACTAACAACTAAACACACACCTAAGAGTTCCCCGGTTTACTATCAATATAGGGACTATCGAAATGCCGACTGGGAATTCCTACCAACGCTCTTGAGAAGCTCAGACTGGGGTGAATACTTCACCAATAATAACTTAGAAGTAATACTAAATACCTTCTACAAGACAATCAGTTCGGTAAGAGACACAATCGCACCCCTGAAATCTGCCCTAAAGACACCAACTCTGTTCATAGATCGCAAAACGCGAATAAAACTAAGGAAACTAAAAAGGAGATTTTATTTACACAAAGAATTTAATGCATTACACCTGATACACGAAATATTTAAAAATTTAGATGAGAGACATAAAATGAAAGCACAAGTCGAGGAAAATAAAGCCCTAGAGGGCACCTCTAAAACCCAGGAACTCTGCAAAATCTTGCAAAAACGGATGAAGAAGGGTGAAGAAAACAATATCAGTCATTTAGAACACGAAGATATAATTTATGATGATCCCCAGATCATTAGTGAACTCCTGAGTGAGTGGTTCTCCAATAACACCAAAGCACATCCGTCCCCAATTCTCGACATAACCTGCAAAAATAACTACAAGTTAGGTGAAATAAACTTTAATATACAAAATATAGCATCGGCGGTAAGGACATTAAAAGCTAACAGTAGTTGTGGGATAGACGATATACCATCCGTCATATACAAAAACGGTGGTACGGATATGATTGTATTATTACTTAGAATATTTAATATCTCACTAGTGACCGAAACCTACCCTGAAACTTGGAAAAACACATATATATTACCTAAGCATAAAGGAGGGGCCAAAACTAGTGCATGTAATTATAGGCCTATCAATATAACACCAGTCATATCAAGGATCATGGAGAAAGTAATCAAAGACCAAATGTCAGACTACTTTCTAAAACATAAACTCATCAACCTGTCACAACACGGATTCCTCAAGAAAAGATCTTGCGTCACTTGCCATATAGACTTTTTCAACGAAGTCACCTATAGAAGAGATAGGAGAGAGCTAGTGATTATCCTCTATTTCGATATAAGGAAAGCCTTCGACAGAGTCCCACATAGTCTGTTAGTCGGTAGGCTATGCTCACTAGGGATACGCAACCCCCTCTACAATTGGATAAAATCATTTCTGTATGACAGGAATCAGACAACTAAAGTTGGCTCAATGACCTCCAGACCTAGACCAATCAGCAGTGGTGTCATCCAGGGGAGTGTATTGGGACCCCTTCTTTTCATTATATACATAAACAGTATATGTGAATGTTTTAGTATAGGCAAGCCAATACTGTATGCAGATGACTTGAAGGTGACATATACCTGCACAAATACAGATATCGGCCCAACTATGAACTCCATACATGAAGAATTAGCAAAAATGGATAGATGGTGTGACACGTGGAGACTTGAGTTTAATGTTGAAAAGTGTGGATGGCTCTGCATAGGCTGTTCCAACCTTGACCTCAACCTAGCAATTCAGGGCCACAAAATCCCCAGACTCAAATCTGTACTAGACCTAGGACTGAAATATTCACACAATCTATCATTTTCAGAGCATATCTCGAATCAAGTGTCGAAATCACGAAGGCTTATTGGTTTCCTACTCAGGAACTTCTACAGAAACGAGTCCAGAATACTACTGTACAAGGTATGTGTGCGCCCACTCCTAGATTACTGCTCATTCATATTCAGCAGTACACGCATAGAAGACAAACTGAAAGTAGAAGGAGTACAGAGGTACTTCACGCGAAAAGTACTCGGAACCGATAACGGCACAAACTACTCTACCAGATGTGAAATCCTGGGACTAGAAACATTATGGTTAAGGCGACTGCGACTAAATCTGTTACTCTTCTATAAGCTTCTTAACCAAATAGTGTATACCCCTGCTAACTATACTCGGTCCTCAGGTAACACAGGATACAACCTTAGGCACACTAAAGGTACAGTGGCTATAGAACCATGTAAAACAGCCACCAGGCAAAAGTTTTTCTTGATTAGGTATGCCCAAATATGGAACAAACTACCTGAGAAAATACGACTAGCAAGCACATTGGCCTCCTTTGAAAAGGCACTTAATGACACACTAAGTGAGTTTGTAATTGATACCAATGGTAATTCCCATGTAAGAGTTTCAGAAATCATAGGCCCATTTAATGTATGAACTCAGAGACTACACCTGTTGTTTGTTTTGTCTCTATTTATAATTCCAGACAAAAAAGCAGCAGTCATGACAATAACACCCATTCAACCAAGAGTCGATCAAACTATGTCTACCTGATACAAAGGGCGAACCATAATCAACATACGAATGAAATATGAGAAAACAAGGTAGAAACTTACCGCAACACCACATGAAAAGATAAAAGTTACTTGGATATCATTTATAATCCACCAACTGGTCTCCTACCCAAAAAGAATGCGGCGATGTTTTATCCAAAAAGGCGAGGAAATACATAAACCCACAGCAGCTGTTGTTAACACTCAGTGGGGGTAGGAGCCAACAAAGTAATCCTTTCAAAGCATATGTATACTTCAAATGGACACGGAGACTTTGTAGATTACGTTATAATCCAAATCACTGCCTCTACAGCGCCAATAAACCTGGATATCTATGATATAACGAAAACATGCTGAAAGCTGCATCTCAGATCAAGTTGACTCATTCCATGGTAATGATCTCCTCCTGCGTGCCTTATTCGACATATTGAATGGAATGGTTCGCAGTTATTCTGGTACTAGATCGAAAAGAATAAAAAATTCACCGGTTGCTGAATCAAAAGTACTTCTCTGCATGTTTAACTGTATTCTAACTGCTATGATTAATTCCAAACCATTTATCCCATAATCACTCAAATTCCAGGAACGATCCAATTCTACCATTTAAAGAAGCTGGCGGACACGATGTAAATGAGTATTCATGATCTGAAATAAAGAAGCAACTGGTTTTCAACATTTTACTCAACTTACGAGTACAGTCCGCCATGCAGACACAAATGGAGCAAATGGAGGATTCTGGAATCGACCTCGGCACCATTTGATGCAGTAAAACAACTTAGCATGACTTTATCTAATTTTCGCCCCCACGATCAAATTTCTTTCCTGTTATGAAACTACGATAAGACTGCTGAAAAATGGAATAAATATATCACTGATCTCAATATAATACATCAATAATCTTTAAGCCAAGGGTGCTGTTCACAACAAAGTTATGTAGGAGAATTGACTTCAAGCTTTATTTTTCCCAGATATCTGTATTACATTCATGTGATGTCTGGGTTTTTTGTTAATGCGAAGACAATATTTCTATATCTCTTTATGTGCTACACAAACAGACTTTATAGCAGACTGTTCCGACTGACTCTAATGTCAGAAAGAACAACCAAACTGTAAGTCCATTATACATCAAATTATGTGTAATTTATATAATAACTTATCCATGCCTGTACAATAGGTATGTTCCTGCATAAACAGGAAGGAATATATTATTATTATTAAAACAATATTTATGCATGCCTATACAATTGGTGTACCCTACATAGCTAGGGAAAAAATGTACTTTATTATATTATCTTTACTAAATATGCTTATTAATATTATGTGTAAATTATCGAATTGATGATGCCTGTAAACTGGCGTCCCTCATGTAAAAAATGAGAATATATATTATTATTATATGTTTGTAGTTTCTTGCTTGCAATAGGGTGTGTTAGGAGTGGATGAATTTTCTGGTCTCTGCCGGTGTTTCGAACTGGAAACGAATAGGACAACACTTTTCATGTTGACTCTTCTTCAGCCTATAGCACTTAGTCTTGGAGTTAGGCATTTTCGCTTCACTAAGTAAGATGCGCTGTACCTTTTTTAGTGCCTCATTGTCCGGAACGTTGTAGACAATAGCACTCAGTTTTGCGTCGAGTCGTTTTGTTACTTCTGTGGTAACAAAGTTAATGAGGTTATCTACCTTAGTTACCGATTCTGTGTCAAGCTTGTTAAGGTTTACGGTTTTCATGAGGATAGTTAGAGGTGTCAGTTCACAGACCTGCGATCTGATATTGCTGATCTGATCTGATAATTTGGATATCTCAGTGTTGGTTTCGATGTTTCCAGCATTTACTGACTTACTGTTTTTTATTTCCCTTAACTCAGCCTTAAGTTCTATAGACAACTTTAGAAGTTCTATTTCTGAAGATAGTACTAAAAAGGAGCTTGATGGCTGGAGTTTTTCGATAAGCACATAAGGTGAAGGGAGGGGTTCTGTATGAGCAGACGGTACTGAATTTTTAGGAGTAGTGCTAATACTAGCTGTCAGTACAGTTTTATCCTCAGTTCCAGCTCGACGCTTACGGCATACAGGTGAGTTATGTGACTCACTATGGCCGTTTGTAGGGGGTGTGTTGCTTGATGTAGCAATCAAGGACGTTAAATTAGACACCAGTTATACAGGGGATTGGGTTCGTTGCTTTTTACTTTGATTAACCATAACTATTAGAAATGAGAGTTAGTGGTTACAAATATGGAAGTATTATAGTACTTGTGCAAGTACTACAACAAGATAAATTTTATGTAACGAATCACGTAAAATGTAACGCAAACGTTGAACGTACCGCGATACAATAGCCCCCCCGGCGTATACGAACCATCTGCTGTCCTTAACATCAATCAATTCATTCACGGATGCAGAAGACTAGAAACAACTTCAGAAGTAATCACGACGAAAATTTTAACAAAATTATGCAATAACAACAAGGTACGAAAACAACGAGTAAACACAATGAATCCAAAATACACCTATTGATATGACACACCACACATATATACAGACAGTACACATAATCTCACAGATCATGTCTCGATGTAATTACTTTGAAGAATCGCAGGACTTACACCAGTACGCCTACAACTCTTCACAGGTTGACGATTGTAAGTTGTGGAATGTCCAGACACAAACAAGATTAACCAACAATTACATCAATTGGAACTCACACAATTATTTAACACAAACATATGTACAATCAACACGTCAAATGTTGTGGATTCTGACACGACAAACTACCCTTGAAGAACCGTAGGACTTACAGCAGTACGCCTACATTCCTTCTCAGGTTGATGATCCAAGTGTAAGTCGTCCGGACACAATCAGAATTACTAACAGCTAGATGACAGATGATATCAATTCTGTATATACAATATGAACTTATGTACAAAATCACACACCAAGCACATTGGACTGCTCATTGATGCACTACCCTTTGAAGAATTGTAGGACTTACACCAGTACGCCTACAACCCTTCTCAGGTTGACGCCCTAGGTTGGAAAATCGTCGCAGAATTCATTTGCTGACTTCCCTCTATCAGCTATATCCTCAACTCTGAACGGTAACACGCCCATGTCATTGTATCGTAGAATATAGATGACGAACAAACACACGACATATCTGATCAACCAAGTGTAGGCACAGAGTAATTTACACCAAAGATAATAACATTCAAATAGTAACTTGAAAAGAGAAGTCAATTTAACAATTACTCTCTCGTTTACACTTGGCTTATCCTCTCTAAACTGAGCAATATCTTTCGTCTTTTCAAATGAAGCAATACTATCAAAGTCATTGTACAAGATACTTGAGTTGATGGGCGTCCTTCTCATTGTGGATGACAACACCAACGACGACTGATTGATACCAGTTAATGAACTTAGCGGTGGATCAGGAGCTGTTGTTGCTCGGCTTTCAGAAATTTGTCTACCTGCAAGACCACCACCACTGGTGTCTTTTACTATCAGCTCAGGTTTAGCAATAGCATCTCACGATAGGTGGGCTACATGCTGATCAATCACGCTGCCGGTCTCAAAAGTGTATATGCCTGCTGCAACTGCATTTATTTCTACTTCACGTTGCAGTTGTACAGAACATTTATTCAACTTAGCAGTATTAGGCATTCCCCCATGTCAGTCTCGTCTCATAAACCGTTAGTGCCCAGCTCTCGCTACGCTCGGGCCCACGCTGTTCTTTGAAGATTTCTCAGAAACGCTTAGTTATAACGGACGCAAAAACCAAAACACCGATCTGCCGTTTGATATTTCTGTATTGTTACACCAACATATAAAAGGAATAAGCGAACTAAGCAACTAAGGTTTTTCTGACGATGTTTCACTCTTCTTTCTGAACAGCGACCGATGAGACGATGACTGTCGTATTGATGCCTCCGCGAAAATTGGGGAAGTTGATTTTGAGCAAACAACCATGAATTGATCGTTCAATCTTCAACTCCATTGACACTCCCCGGCAAAAATGGGATCCAACCCTTTTTTCCTTCACGACCAATGCACGTTGACTTGGATGCCATTGCGAGAACCTGGGTCACACGGACAGAGCTGAAATGGAAAACAAACAGAAAAGCCAACACACCACAAGCATACCCACAGCACAATCTCACACACCAATGACAACCTGCGCCTCCAGACAGAGACCTCCTCTTGACATCTTGCAACACAATCGCCATTTGCTAGAATGACTCTTGCAGAATGCAAAGTGACCATGGCAGGACCTCACGATACTCTACGCACATCCTCTTAATTACTCACTACCAATTACCATTGAAATCGCTTGTCACTCATTCTGCCTCAGTTCTAGTAGCGGTGACGCATGCGAGCCTCAGTCGTTTACACTCTTTCTCCCCGGCGTGTCGGCCCGCATCTAACAATTATCTCCGTGTGCATTTCATTCTCAGCAATAGCCAAGCCTCCCCGGCGTATACGACCCATCTGCTGTCTCTAACATCAATCAATTCATTCACGGATGTAGAAGACTCGAAACAACTTCAGAAGTAATCACGACGAAAATTTTAACAAAATTATGCAATAACAACAAGGTACGAAAACAACGAGTAAACACAACTGATCCAAAATCACAAATTGCGAAGACACACCACACGTATACACAAACGGTACAAATAACCTCGCGGATCATGTCTTGGTGGAATTATTTTGAAGAATTGGAGGACTTATACCAGTACGCCTGCAACCCTTCACAGGTTGACGATTGTAAGTTGTGGAATGTCCAGACACAAACAAGATTAACCAACAATTACATCAATTGGAACTCACACAATTATTTAACACAAACATATGTACAATCAACACATCAAATGTTGTGGATTCTGACACGACAAACTACCCTTGAAGAACCGTAGGACTTATAGCAGTACGCCTACATTCCTTCTCAGGTTGATGATCCAAGTGTAAGTCGTCCGGACACAAACAGAATTACTAACAGCTAGATGACAGATGATATCAATTCAGTATATACTATATGAACATATATACAAGATCATACACGGAGCACATTGGACTGCTCATTGATGCGCTACCCTTTGAAGAATTGTAGGACTTACACCAGTACGCCTACAACCCTTCTCAGGTTGACGCCCTAGGTTGGAAATTCGTCGCAGAGTTCATTTGCTAACTTCCTTCTATCAGCTATATCCTCAAATCTGAACGGTAACACGCCCATGTCATTGTATCGTAGAATATAGATGACCAACAAACACACGACATATCTGATCAACCAAGTGTAGGCACAGAGTAATTTACACCAAAGATAATAACATTCAAATATTAACTTGAAACTAGAAATGCCTTTATTCGTGCAAGTCAATTTAACAATAACTCTCTCCTTTACACTTGCCTTATGCACACTAAACTGACCATTGATATTCGTCCTTTCAAACGAACTGACATTACCATAGTCATTGCAGAAGATACTAGATTTGATGGGCATCTGTTTCATTGTGGATGAAAACACCAACGATGACTGAGTGACACAAGGTGATGAACTTAGCGGTGGATCAGAAGCTGTTCTTTTTCGGCTTTCAGATAGTTGTCCAACTGCAAGATTACCACCACTGCTGTCTTTCACTACTAGTTCGGGT